AGGGAGCTCTTGACGATGTCGGCGACCGTCCGAGCGGCGAGGATGTGGTTCTTGACGGCCTCGTTGCCGTACTGACGCTTCTTTTTGCCCTGACTGTTCGGGAGGGGTCAGCGGGAGGGGGACGGAAGGGGGGGGCCGCTACTGAAAGGCAGGGGATGGCATGTGCCGAACATACTCTCGGACAACGATGAAGGGGCGGCCCTGCTCATCCTTCATCACCGCCGCTGTGCAAACCGGTCAGTTGTTGGTTCGTGGGGGAGGGGTCGGTGTAGGGGCTCAGGGGTCGACAATCAGGCAGCGCATACCATTGCTCATATCCAGGTCTAGAACGTAAGTTAGCAAATGACTGGAACAGTAGAGGATAGCAACTACTCACTCATCGCCATGTTGGGAGCCTTTATCGGTTACAGAAGCTCTACCAGGGTTTGTTGAGGGGTATCGGGCGACGTTGTAGGAGGTAGCGGGTATCGTGGACTGAAGTCGAGATTAGTGAGCTCCAGCTTGCACGTCGCCCAGGCCAAAATTTCTGAATTTCGGAGCGCTGCTGTCTGCTTCCAGGCTCCCCCAAATCCCACGTCACGTGCAGGTGGTGGGCCGTGCCGGGTGCCCCGCATATTGAATGCAAGGTAAAGGTACCTCTCTGAACACAGCTGACTGAATGCTTTTGTCGCTTGCATCTACAAAATTGATCGTGGATGCGGTTTTGTTGCTGTGTAGACTCGCTGGTGCCATGGCTCTTTTCCAGTTCTGTGTTTGACCGTGTTGTCCGCAGATACAACTTCTATGATGCTCTCGCGTTGGTGTACATGGTGATGGTCAGAAGCCTCTCACCGCCTGCCTAGCCTGGCCCTTACGAGGGCGGGCTTTGGGCTCCAAACTGCCCTGTTCTTGTGTTGATACCCCGCCACCGAGCACTGCTGCCCCGCCAATGACGACCAGATCAAAAGTCGGGCTACATACACCATCCTCACCCTCACGAGCACAAGCGCGACTAGTCATCATCACCTTCTACCCTTCGCAGGATTCGAATCACTCTGTTGTCCGAACATCCTCACTCCATTCCTCCGTACATCTGCCAGTGCTTCAGCTCGAGCCACAGCCAAGTTTTCGTTTGGAGCCACTTCGACGTCACTCGATAGTCCTCCACGGCTTCTTGCATTGCAGCTCGAACCTCTCTTCCCCATTCGTTCTTTGACGCTGAGACGTCTTTTTCCAGATGTCGCGCCACCAAGCCGTCCGTAACTTGGACTTTGAAGAAGTTCTCGACGAGTACGATGCTGATGATGGTGAGCTCGGTGCGGATCAGCTTACCCCTGAGGACCGCGATGCATTAGCCAAAGGGGCTGAGCAGGTCCGTGAGACTCTGGGAAGCGCCGCTGGATCTCTGACGACCCAGCAAATACACGACGCCCTGTGGTACTATTATTATGACATTGAGAAGACCGTCGACTACCTCTTAAAGAAATACATCACGCCACCAACTCCCAAGTCTGAGCCCAAGAAGCCGAAGGAGGGTAAGTCGCTCATTTCATTTCTCGCGTCTAGTTGGAAACAGGGACCAGGAAGTGCAGAAGTTGAGCGTTCGGTAGCCGGCAGGACAAGACAGCAGATGCAAAGTGACATTGGCAACTTCGGCATGGCCTCCTTCTATGGAATTCCTTCAACCACCCCGTGGCCGCCTCCGTCCTGGTATTTCGAAGACATGCCCTGGATGAATGTGCCAAAACACCGGCAAGCCATGATGGTTCCTCCCGTCTTGCCCGTGGGCGGGCTTCTGGGTGGTGGCGAAGGGCCGAAGGTCTCCAAACTCCAAGCGCTTGCCGCGGCCCGTAAGAAGAAGAGCGAGGCCGTGAAGAAGCCCGAGGAGTCGGAGGAACGGACACAGAAACGGCTAGCCGAGCTCAACATCAACGAGCAAACCTATGCAGAGAACGTCAAGCCCGGCTCAGGTATTCTAGCGAAACGCCAGAAGCTCGTGAGCGCCAACTCGGGCGGCAAGACATTGCCCGCAGCACAGCCCCTTCCAATTCCATCAGGGCCGTCCCCACCCACCACCATGGAAGTGGACGAAGTCCATAATGAAGAGTCATCAGACCCTGCGCCAGCAGAGGAACAAGCAGTCACGTCAACGTCCCGGCCGTCCGCCTTTGCTCACGTACTCTGTGGCTTGTCTGCTGGTTCTGCCGACCCCTCAACTGATACTTTCAACCTCCCCTACAAGTCATCCCCCTTGTTCAACTCTGCAGCGTTTGACCAGCCCAGCCCCGATGACATAGTGCTCGCGGCGCAGGCCAAAGGTTCGCGATTCGCGAAGAATCAATGAGGCGCTGACTCTGATTTCCTTCGTAGCCGGCAACCGGTTTGACGCTGCTGCTGCAAAGAGCGCTACCGCCGCCAAGAAAGCTCCCAAGTCCAACGGAGGGCCGCCGACAGAAGCTGCCAAGGATCTCTCACTGGACGATGCTCCACCCCCGAAGAGCAAGAAGATCAATGTGCTTCAAGAGTTCGAGAACAGCAAGAGCAAACGCAGCGCAAGCTTTGTTGTAGTTGGTGCGTGAAAGCTACTACGACTCTACTGAGCTTTGCTGACAACTCCAGGCCATGTCGATGCAGGCAAGAGTACGCTCATGGGGCGGCTTTTGCTAGAGCTCAAGTTTGTTGAACAGCACTTGATCGACAGATATAGACGCCAAGCAGAGAAACTGGGCAAGTCATCATTTGCGCTCGCCTGGGTCATGGATCAGCGAGAGGAGGAACGCGAACGTGGTGTGACCATCGACATTGCCACCAACCAGTTTGAGACCGACAAAACCCAGTTCACGATCCTTGACGCCCCGGGTCACAGGGATTTCGTTCCTAACATGATTGCCGGAGCCAGTCAAGCTGACTTTGCCGTCCTCGTCATCGATGCCAATACTGGAGCTTTCGAGAAAGGCTTGAAGGGCCAGACGAGGGAGCACGCATTACTATTGAGGAGTCTCGGCGTCCAACGTGTCATTGTCGCCGTCAACAAGCTGGACATGGTTGGGTGGTCCGAGGAGCGGTTCAACGAGATTTCTGAGCAGGTCACCGGCTTCATGAAGGGCAATGGCTTCCAGCTAAAGAACGTCACTTTCGTTCCCATTTCTGGACTCAACGGCGACAACTTGGCGGTCAAATCCGAGGACCCCGCGTTGTCTTGGTACAAGGGCGAAACACTGATTCAGGCCCTGGAGGATTCCGAACCACTGGCCCGGGCTCTGGAAAAGCCATTCAGAATGTCCATCTCGGAGATTTTCAAATCTCAACAGAGCCAGTTGACAATATCGGGTCGCATCGAATCTGGAACTGTGCAGACGGGTGAGAGCATTGTGGTGCAGCCTAGTGGAGAACCGGCCAGCATTCGTTCCATCGAGGTCGATACCGAGATTCAGGATTGGGCGGTAGCTGGACAGAACGTGTCCTTGGGTGTCTACGGCATCGATCCTATCCATATTCGGGTAGGCGACATCATCAGCAGCAAGGCGGAACCAATCGAGACCAGCGACTTGTTGACCATGAAAGTGCTCGCCTTTGAGCACTTGATGCCCATGCCTGTCGACGTCCATCGAGGTCGACTACATGCCGCCGGCAGAATTCAGTCGATCCCGGCAGTGCTCAACAAGACTACGGGCGCAACGGAGAAGAAGAACCCCAAGGTTGTGGCGCCTGCCAAGGTTGCACGCGTCGTGGTCAAGCTGGAGTCAAAGGTGCCTCTGGAAGCTGGGCAAAGAGTCGTGTTGCGAATGGGCGGCGAAACCGTGGCAGCAGGTCTTCTAGAGTAGCTGTTGAGGATTGCCAAAAACACGCAGGAAACGAAGTCATGATGCATCCAAAGGAAGCGAATGGGAGGCTGGCATGTTTCGGGGGTATTGCTGGAGGTTGGGGGTGCCGCATGAGGGCATGATGGGCACTGCATTTTTAGTCGCGTTTCAACCAATAGAAACCATCCCAAATGAGGAATCGAGGGAACATGCAGGCAACTCCCGTGTTGGTTCCTGAGCCGGCCAGCTGAGGGGCAGCCTCCCGCTCGACAAGTGAGCAGTCTGAAGCGTCAACGTGTCTTTAACCCGATATTCTGCGTCACCCTTGTTGCAACGCAATTCGAGCTTCTGGCCACGGAGGCTTTCTTTACGCACAAGGCGAGTCGTCGTTGATGAGAAATCACGTCGCTTTCGGAGACAGCCATCCGTTCCTACACCCCGCAGCCAGATTGAGCCAGAGCTCAAGTGCCAGAGCCCCGCATCACCAGGGTCTAGGGGCAGGGGGGGGCAAGAAAGGCCACGATGTCATTTGGCAGCGGTAAAGGCAAAGATGTATGCCAGGCGGAGGAAGGCATCGCCAGCAGGTCAGAGACGTGACAGCCTCGTGAGTCACTGCGGTGGCCAACCTGGACGATGGAATAGTATGGAACGCCTGATTCCTTGACCGCTGAGCTCATCGAAATGTCTGGAATACTTCATGCCCTGGATCCTGCATCGTGTCCCCACGAAGTTTGCCCATAGCGCCAAGGGTGGAGGCGCTAAGGTTCTTGTCAATCCGCCGGTGGCTCGTGCGTGGCTGATCATGTAATTCGCACTGTAAAGTCTTGTTCTTCAGGTGCAGATCCAGGGCGGTGAATGATGTGCTCACAGTGCATGGACACGTGCACGATAAGCGGTCACAACAGCGATAACCACTTGAACCCCTGCCAACTGTGGCGCTCTTGCTGAAATCTGGCCTTTTTGTGCAATGGACAGCTTGACTTTCCGACGCCTTCTTTTGGGGAAGCTCACTTCATAAAGGTTTCCATTCTTCCCTCTGCCCTTCACCTCTCCGATTCTTCAACCCAACTCCCCTTCCCTCCCATTAACCCACGGCATCATAACCGGCTGGAGGTAGAATCCCCTTCGCTGCGTGCCTGAAACTTCTTCCTTCCTTATATTTCCCTTTGCTGCGCGATACCCTGGATAAGAGCGCGATCCGAACCATTTCACACAAACATGTCGAGGTCTCGCAACTCGATGGCCATGGGCTTCGGCCTGTTGGCCTGGATCTGTCTTCTCTTCGCGCCTCTGGCCCTTGTCCAGACTGTGCACGCTGAGGAGCCTGAGAACTACGGTACCGTCATTGGTATCGATCTTGGAACCACCTACTCTTGTGTCGCTGCCCTCCAGAAGGGCAAGGTTGAGATCTTTGTCAACGACCAAGGTACGGACACCTGGCCTCTCACGAAATCGCGACACGCTTGCTGACCCGCTCGCCAACAGGAAACCGTATTACTCCCTCTTATGTCGCTTTCACCGAGGATGGCGAGCGTCTCGTCGGTGACGCCGCCAAGAACCAGGCCGCCGCTAACCCTTACAACACGATCTTCGATGTCAAGTAAGCCACTAGCCAATCGCTTCTGTTTGCTCACAACGACACGTCGTGCTGACCAAGTCTCTAGGCGTATGATCGGATCCAAGTTCAGCGACAAGAACGTCCAGGCCGATCTCAAGCACTTCCCCTACAAGGTTGTTGCCAAGAACGAGAAGCCTTCCATCCAGGTCTCCGTCAACGGCGAGGACAAGAGCTTCACTCCCGAGGAGATCTCCGCCATGATTCTCGGCAAGATGAAGGACACCGCTGAGGCCTACCTCGGCAAGAAGGTCACTCACGCCGTCGTCACCGTCCCCGCCTACTTCAACGACAACCAGCGCCAGGCCACCAAGGATGCTGGTGTCATTGCCGGTCTTAACGTCCTCCGTATCGTCAACGAGCCCACCGCCGCCGCCATCGCCTACGGCCTTGACAAGCTCGACGGCGAGCGCCAGATCATTGTCTACGATCTCGGTGGTGGTACATTCGATGTCTCTCTCCTGTCCATTGACCAGGGCGTCTTCGAGGTGCTTGCCACCGCCGGTGACACCCACCTTGGTGGTGAGGACTTCGACCAGCGTGTCATCAACCACTTCGCCAAGCTCTACAACAAGAAGAACGACGTCGACATCACCAAGGACGCCAAGGCCATGGGCAAGCTCAAGCGTGAGGCCGAGAAGGCCAAGCGTACCCTTTCTTCTCAGATGTCCACCCGTATTGAGATCGAGGCCTTCCACAACGGCAACGATTTCTCCGAGACTCTGACCCGCGCCAAGTTCGAGGAGCTCAACAACGACCTCTTCAAGAAGACCCTCAAGCCCGTCGAGCAGGTGCTCAAGGACGCCAAGGTCGAGAAGAGCGAGGTTGACGACATCGTTCTCGTCGGTGGCTCCACTCGTATCCCCAAGGTTGTCTCCCTCATTGAGGAGTACTTCAACGGCAAGAAGGCTTCCAAGGGTATCAACCCCGACGAGGCTGTCGCCTTCGGCGCCGCCGTCCAGGCTGGTGTTCTGTCCGGCGAGGAGGGTACTGAGGACATCGTTCTCATGGACGTCAACCCCCTTACTCTCGGTATTGAGACCACTGGCGGTGTCATGACCAAGCTCATCAACCGTAACACTCCCATCCCCACCCGCAAGTCCCAGATCTTCTCCACGGCTGCCGACAACCAGCCCGTGGTTCTCATCCAGGTCTTCGAGGGTGAGCGTTCCATGACCAAGGACAACAACATCCTCGGCAAGTTCGAGCTCACCAGCATCCCTCCCGCTCCCCGTGGTGTTCCCCAGATCGAGGTCTCCTTCGAGCTCGACGCCAACGGTATCCTCAAGGTCTCCGCCCACGACAAGGCCACCGGCAAGGGCGAGAGCATCACCATCACCAACGACAAGGGCCGTCTCACTCAGGAGGAGATTGACCGCATGGTTGCCGAGGCTGAGAAGTACGCCGAGGAGGACAAGGCCACCCGCGAGCGCATTGAGGCTCGCAACGGTCTTGAGAACTACGCCTTCTCCCTGAAGAACCAGGTCAACGATGACGAGGGTCTCGGTGGCAAGATCGACGACGAGGAGAAGGAGGCTGTGAGTATTCCCCAGTGCGTTTGGACCCATGAGTACACGACTAACTGTTTTTTCAGATTCTTGAGGCTGTCAAGGAGACTACCGACTGGCTCGAGGAGAACGGCGCCGAGGCCACCGCCGAGGACTTCGAGGAGCAGAAGGAGAAGCTATCCAACGTCGCCTACCCCATCACCTCCAAGATGTACCAGGGTGCTGGTGGCGCCGGTGGCGAGGCTGATGAGCCCGCATCCCACGATGAGCTCTAAATTCCTACTAGCTAGCTTCTGGGAGTTTGTTGTTGTTGATAACAGTTCAAAGCACAAAAGAGAACGAGAATCATGCATGACGCTGGGAGGAGCTTCTCACCGCGCGCGCAAACGCCGCCCGCCGTGTTTTTCTGATTTAAAACCCCTGCTGTTGGGCAGGTTAATCGGCGCAGGCAGCATTGGCGGAGAGGACGACGCGCCCTCCGCCGGGCATGTAGACTACGGGAACATGACATTAGTGAAATCTGAGCCGTTGAAAACAGACCATGGTGACATGTGGTGACACGACTTCTGGAAACATGTGCCTGAAATCCCACCATACCTAGTACTTTACAGCATTGAATGTATGTTGTCAGTGGCGGGAACAAACATGATGTGGTCATCCAGTCGAGCATGCGTCGTGCTGCGATAGTCTCCACCGCACCTCGATGTCCACTCTTGTGGTACGTTGGCAGAACAGCCTGTGATTGTTGGAGTACCTACGCCCTGTACACAATCGCCGCACCCATCATCTCTGCTCACTTGCCCCTGCCTTTCGTGGTGGAATTCAAATCAAATCGACGACTGAAGAATCTCGGTCTGCCATTGACGAAGAAGAAACAAACGAAAAACAACAAATCTTGGTGAAAAGTGCGCATTTCCCCCCTCCCCGTTTCCCCCACGCATGTTATGCTGCCATTTGCTCCAGCTCTGGTCCCTATTGTCCAGGTTCATCGTTCCTTTGGTGTACCTTGCAGCCTACGACCACGACGGCTGTCCCCTCTCGAGAGCAGGTGTGGCGACGGCATTCTTGTCCGCGAAGGGGTCGTCATCGTCTTCGTCGTCATCGTCATCAACCTGCTGGACCGGCGGGCGGGGCGGCTTCGTCGGCCCTGAAGCATTGGCGGGCGACACAGACGCGGGCTTGGACCGGGCGCCGGGGCGTGGCGGAGCCAAGGGACGGGGAGGGCTGGCCCCGAGGTTGAGGCCCGCCATATCGGGCGCATCCGGGGTTGCGCTCTTGCCCTTTTCGGTAGCCACTGCAGTTGGAAAGTTAGATCCATGGGTTTTTGATAAAGAGGAACAGAGGGACATGAGTGTCTACGGGGGTTAGACGTGATGACATACTTCTGTACATGTGGGCCTGTTCCGCGAGTTCGTCATCCGAGTCAGAGTCCGCGTCGATAGAGCGATCGAGCTGCTCGAAAGTCATGAGCGCAAGCACGAGGTCGTCGTTTGCGTGGAGGAGGCTGCCGAGCCACTGTTCAGATTCAACATGGTGGATCTAGAGGGGGCGATTGTCAGTATTGCTGGCCAGTCTGAAGAGACTTGGACGCTCACATAGCGGAGGATCTTCCTCCTGAGCTTCTTGCACTCCTCGAATCGCTGAACGGCGAGCGCATTGTCAGAGATGCGCTCCTTTTCTCGGTTGATGGTCTGCAGGGCGTTGTTGAGGTTGGTGGTGGAGATGGAGGCCTCGGCAATATCGCTCTTCATGTTCTCCTTCTCGGCCTCGAGAACAAAGGGCTTCTTCTTGCCCTTCTTATCCTTGGTCTTGTTCTTGTCTTTGGAGGATCCGAAAAAGGACGTGCTTCCAGATGCAGAGGATGACTTGGTATGGCTGAAGGAGTTGACGGTGCTGGCCGGTTTCCCGTATGGTGCTTTAGAGGATTCGCCGGCGCGGCCTGATGGCGATGTCTGGCGACCTTCGTCCTCATCCTCTTCGCCAAAGGGATTCTCCGTCTCACGGACAGCCTTGGATCGCTCCTGCGTCATGGCTTGTTTGCGCTTGGGAAGATCCTGAATGTGTAAGAACGTGGTTGTTTTGCCTGCTTCGCGATTGTTTAGACATACCGTATGAAGCTTGGCGATGCGCTCAAGTCCCGGCGTCCCCTTGTAGTCAGCCCATCCAGCAAACAGAACCCTGCACTTCTTCTTGACGTCTGGATCAGACAGATCTGAAGTGCCACAGACGCGGAGACGCTCGAGCAGGGGCTCGTCGGCAAAGGTGCGCTGGAATCGGGGGCCTGCGTTCAGGATAAGGCCATCGAGAATGGCGAGGGCGCGGAGCTGGCGATGGGCGTTGCCATACTTGAGCTTCTTGCGAATCGCGCGCGCGGCTTCCGTGGGACCAGTCGACTGCAACTTGATGACCTCGACGAGGTCGATAATACCACTGAGATCATCTTCCTCGTAAGACTCACTGGTGAGACGCTCGATGTACGCGGTGACAGCCGAGTACGGCTTCTTCTACATGTGTGTCAGCTCTGCTTTGGGGGCCCTTCGTTGCCATCAGTGATGACGATACTGAGCGCTATGGCTGAACATATGATGTCGCGACAGGGCGAGGCTCACGCCATGCGCCACGAGCCGCGATGCCAGGGCTAGCCAGTATGATCGGCCCAGACGTGACTGACCTGGGCAAACATGGACATTACAATGTTGTGTTGCTATCATCAACCAGGTGTTGTATGTTGGGTTGATATGAGTGTGTCGAGTGATAGCTTGACTGGCGCTAAGCGGAATGTCGCGAACGCGGGGTAGCTGGTGAGATGTGAGGGAAGCTCTGAATCACAGGCTGAGATTGCTACCTCAGGCAGACTGGAATGCGATAGAGGCAGATATCCAGAGCACAAAATTACCGAAACATGCATCAAGGGGCGTTCTCGTCGTGCTCATGAAGCTTGAGACGTTGAATGCCTTGTGACAGGCTGGCATGAGAGGTCCCGTGGTGGGGTAATTGGGTTGGAGCTCGGCCATTGCTCTCGGTCACTTTGAAGTGCAGTGTTGAGCCCCGCCATGTGACGTAGTACAGTGGCTGTTCTGTGTGGCTTGGATTATGGGGCTTTGGAGGCCTCGAAATCGACATTTGTGCATCGTGAAAGAATGAAAAAGTTGCTACAAAGTACTATGGCATGGTTCAACATGTGATATGGTTTCCACGATGGGCAAACGTTCGAATTATTACAGAACGTACCAACATTGCATATGATCATCCGAATCATTGCCCCGAAATCCCAGATGGACCCCTTTTGCGCCCCATCTTAACGAGAACCAGCGCGGCCGTCCAATCACACTAGAGAGTGCATTTTGGCAGGAGCCTCACCGACAGCCCGATAAACAGTCTCTCTCACCTCGGTGAGAAGACTTGATGTTCCCTCATTATCGCCCCGCTGTCCCCTTCATAGTAAGGTGCTGCCGGAGTCACGTGTGAGTGTGCGCCACAAGTCGTGAGCATTTGATGGGCTACCACTCAGATGGTTCTCAGCCAGATCGATCCGGGCCGTTCCAAAACTCAAACCCTGAGATGGCGGCGCCCGCAGCTCGTCACCCACGCGTGGCATGTGTAAGCTGTTTTGCAAGGCGATCTTTTGAGAAATACTCTTGGCATTTGTCAGACCTCGCCCAGCTTCTTCCATCTCCAAAGCCATTCCTCTTGGCTCATCAACGTGTGTTTCTCAGCCTCATCAGCTTTCAGCCCAACCTCGCTGCCTGGTCTTACGAGAGGACGCGTACTTGGTGCTAGAGCCATGCATACCCCACGACAAGGCGGCCACCATATTGCTTCTCCCGCGCCTCTTGTGTTGATCTTGGGAGGCCAGAGCCTTCTCGGCCTGCTTCGACCCGGCCGACAACGGGGTCACTTGCCTCATTCGACGCTGTCAGATATTCGATGCAGCTCGTTATTTGATCAAGCGAGCATCGAGAGCCGAAGCCGTGTCATTATCCCAGGCCTCATGTTGGCCTCTGGCGCAGCATCCCGTGGGGGTGGGACTGAGAGGAGGATTGCCCAGGAAGGACACTGGACAAACTGCCGCACCTAGCGCCTACTTTCGGCTAGTTCCCTGAGCCAATTCCACTTAAGGTTTCAGGCGATCTCGCCATTCGGGGCACTCGGGCAATCTTGTCGACAGAACAGATCGGCAGCCGTGGTCATCAACATTACGACGGCTTCCCCTTCGCCCGCGCCAATGATCTGATCCCTTGCGGATCTTGTACCAATAGACTGGTTTTCGCCAACGGCGGGCATAGAAGCGACATTATAGACTTTGACTCTAGCGTGTGCTTGCTTGAGTCTCACGGGTTTCTATTCACTGCAAGGAGATGCATGGCCTTCCATGTCACTGTACAGCTCAGCTCTGGTCTGTCCCTCAACAACAAGCTTTCAGCGCCGAAGGGTACTCAGTGTATATGGAAGCCCTTTTCTGGGCAGCCGAAAACCAACCTCGTACGAAGCTGAAGGTGATTGGCTGGAGGCTCAGTGACCCTCAGTCCCCTGAGGGTCGAACTAAGTGCTCCGCCACCACCACGCTCCTTGGCATCCTATTGACTGCCTGTCCCAAGAATACCAAGACTTTGACAATCGAGCCCTTGCAACTACGACAAAACGGCAGAGAAATCATCCCAAAAGCGAAGGGCCATGACCTTTTGGTGAAAAACACCCACGTTCGGCAGCTCGTGGCGGAATTGCGTGACACGGGACAGCTTCCAGCCCGGGGGGGAGCGCACGGCGTGCCCGCTTCGCTGTGAGTGCGCAACTGGAGTGGGAGAGACCGCCAAGACACTGGGAGTCCTATCAACGCCGGCACTGCTTGATTGCGTGATCAGCCCGCTTCCTGATGCCATTTTGCCCAGACGCTCCAGAATCGAAGGCACTGCCGTGGCAAGAAAATCTGCGCAGAAAAGAGCAGGGAGAACCGAACAGAGTGGGCGGCCGGTAAACGGACATGTTCGGGAGTGACAGGCGGGAAGATAAGGGCGCTCTGCAAAGGCTGGGCATACTTGGTTTATAACTTATAAGGAGAATATCCTCGACCCATCTCTTGTTTCATCAAGACAAAGTTGCCGTTCTAGCCGGTGTGCATTTGCTATCAACCACACCCATCATGTCGGAATACGACAGCAAGACGCCCAAGGCGCTCGAGGGCCCACCCTCTTCCACTCAGGGCGATGAGGAAGTGCGCAACCTTCACGTTGACTGGACGAAAGAAGAGGAGCGCAAGGCCAAGCGGAAGTGAGTTGCCGAGGAGATCCTCCTTCGTCAGGGTTGTCAACTCATGCTGATGTCTTCGACAGGCTGGACCTGATTATCATGCCCATCCTGACACTAGGATTCTTTTGTCTCCGTGAGTACCTGCGTGTAAAATGCTTCTCCGCTGGCAACCACATCTGACGCGCGACATGCCACAGAGCTCGATCGAGGCAACATCGCCAACGCCATCACCGACAACTTTATGGAAGATGTGGGCATCAACCAGGATCAGTTCAACGTCGGCCAGCAGATGCTGTCGCTCGGCATCGTGCTCTTCGAGATCCCCTCCAACATGATCCTCTACCGTGTGGGCCCCGGCAAGTGGCTCACTCTGCAGCTCTTCCTATTCGGTACCGTCAGTCTGTTCCAGGCCTTCCAGAAGGGGTATGGGGCCTTCATTGCCACGAGGTTTCTCCTCGGCATGACGGAGTCTGGATTCATTCCTGGTGGTCTGTGGACCCTGTCGACTTGGTACACGCGCACAGAAACGGCGAAGCGTGTTATGATCTTCTACTTTGGTAACCAGTTTGGTCAAGCTTCATCCAAGCTGCTTGCCTACGGCATCCTCCACATGCGCGATGTCGGCGGCAAGGCTGGTTGGTTCTGGCTGTTCGCGCTCATGGGTGGCTTCACGATCCTCAGCGGCTTCGTCTTCGGTTTCTTCCTTCCCGATTCCTTCAAGAACCCCAGGAGTACTTTCGCCCCTGGCATCAAGTTCTTCACCGATCGCGAGCTGCACATTCTGCAAACTCGCGTCTTGATCAACGACCCCATGAAGGGCAAGAAGAAGAAGAAGATTGGACTGGATGCTTTCAAGAAGGCCGTAAGTATCATTTCCTCTTTCGGAAACCATGGGCGTCGCTAATGAACCCTTGCATAGTTCGGCAACTGGCGCCTCTGGATCCACCTCTTCATCACCCTGTCCAACAACGGCCCTCAGCGTGCGTTCGATACCTACTCGCCTTCGATTGTTCGCGACTTTGGTTTCGCTGCTCTCACCAGCAACGCGTTGGCTTCCGTCGGTCTCTTCCTGCAGATCCCGACCTCTTTCGCGTTCAGCTATGTTTCGGATCGCTTGTGAGTCGAACCATGCCGGACACTGCGATGGGATGACTGACACTCAGCTTTTAGCAACAAGCGCCCTGAGACGGTGGTCGTCGGTCTGAGCATGCACTTGCTCGGTTATGTCTTCAACCGCATCTTTACCGAATTGAACATGCGTGGAGTCCGCTACTTTGGCGTCGTCTGGACTCAGACGTTCGGCACCTTTTCGCACCCGCTCAACATTGCGTGGATGTCCCTTACCTGCCACGACTCTGAGGAGCGTGCCCTCGCCATGGCCATGTAAGCTCTTCTTGTCATCAAGCTGAACGAAAGTAAAAGTACTGACAAATGGCCAGGGTCATCATGGGTGCCAACATCGCGGGCATCTACGGTGCCCAGATATTCCGCGCCGACGACAAGCCCCGCTACCGCCGTGGCTTCTCCATCAATATCGGTGTGCTCACGTTTGGCTTGTCGCTGGCTGTTCTACGCGGCGTCGACGAGTGGCTTCAGCGCCGCCGCAAGGCCAGGCAGGCGATCGATGAGTCCTCAGACGACAACGCCTCGCACATTGGTCGTGTTCGCGGCGAGAAGGTGGCGCTGCCCAGCGAGGACCTCCCTCAGCCTGCTTTGCCCTCCCCACCTGCCAACAAGATCTAATAGATGCGTAATGGCTTGATAACTTCTGACTTTGTCTTGGAGATGGAACAGCACCTTGTGGCAGGTTCACTGCGGAGTCGCGGTGGATGTATTAGCATGTAATGTGGTTGAATCCCAACAATATCTCACATGATTTATGCCCAGGAACTAGGTGTAGTCAGGCAAGATTTTACATGCACTGATCGTTGTTGAATGTCGTGGTGTCCGACTCTGGGAGCACTTTGTCCGTGACGTTCTCTCCCCAACGTCCGCGGTGCGGTTGTGACGTTGGACAATGACGGAATGTTTCTAGAGATATCTTGGAACTCATGGACGCGTTTAAGTACTAACAGGAGAGTCTTGAAGCATGTAGCTCATAGTCCTTCGTAGCCTGAAGCCTTCCTTTGGTGCATCAGCAGCTCGACGGGAACCTGGGTCAAAATTTGGTTGGCAGGCACGACAGACCTACGCCCCAGAGGCAGCTTCCCTTCTTGCCGGCCGCTAGTTCCCCTTAAATCTGACGCAAGCATGAATTCTTTTAACGAAGCACAATTGTGCTTCTTTCATTCATCTTCTTCCCACCATAAGGCACCTAGCTAGGGCTGACGCCGCAGACACTTTCGTCAAGTCGACTGTCTGAACCCGATGTCTTATGATAGTCAAGGATTTCTCATTATTTAAATCAAGCTATCGCTGCTGCCACTCTTTACAAAATAGCCACCAGCTCGCTCTGGTGCCTTGTATACCCAGGGTTTTGTCTGTGTGTCTCGTGTGAAGTAAGCCACAGCCAGGGCACCACACGAGTGTTCGGTCGGACCCGTATTCTGCCTTCCATAGATGACTATGGCAATAAACACTGTCACCAGGTTCGTCACCTTCAGAAGCTCCGGGATCCCTGAAACTAATCTGGCTTAGAACAAGCGACGCTTCTGCGGGAGGACCCCCTTCGAATGCCAATCGTGGGCATAGCGACGTTGAGTCACCAACATCGCCAAGCTGCTGCATACCCTACGACGACCTGAGAAAGAACAAGATGGTCAACGCATTGTCTGCCAACTTACCCCACCAAGACACGAAGAAAGGTGAAATGGGGGACAAAACCTTGCCCCGTAAACGACCTCGAGATAACCAGGACGACACTTTGGCGTTCGGCATCAGCAAGAGAACAACTAGGCAAGCTCTCGGCTTGTTGCCTTCTGCAGACTGTTCCTTGGCAGAAGGGCCCAAGACATCTGTGGACTTGGAAATACCTGCTCTCTCTTATGATGACGCCATCTTCGTCCCTTCACGCAAGGCCTTCGAAAGCGAAACCCTCCCCAATCCCGATCTCACGCTAGCCCCTTTACACGCGGCGAATACCATCGATATTGGAACGGACAACGCAATCCAGACTCCTTGGAGTATACCAGAGAGCCCCGTCCCCGAAGATAACGGCTCCGATCACTTCGATGACGATTGGATGCGTAAGTACATCGACTTAACACCCACACAGACCGATCACGTCTCGCTGTGCTCGACTCATGACACCAGCCACGATACCAATATTAGTTCTTGGGTGACCTCGGCTTTTGTCCCGTCCGACGGAATGCCAAACATCATTGAAAGCGAGACTTCTGGCTCTAGCCAATCCTTAGAGGTGATGAGGAAAACCGAGGCTTGTACTCAGAGAACCTGCTTCCTGGACGTTGACGATTACATGCTGGATAGCTCGGACGAAGAAGCGCTTGTGAATTTTCTCTCTAGAACACCCAACCCTGACATGCGGATGCCTCCTGCAAACACGGCTCAGATCACGAATGGTGGTTCTCAGGATGGCGTTGACTATGAAAGGGCTCTTGAGCTTCCGCCGCACGTCGTTTCAACCTACGGCTCTGATCCCCGTGGACTACATTCAGAGGTGGATCTCTTAGACGACGACTTGGACTGGAAATATATCTCGACAATTGCCGATGATACCAAGATCGAACAGTTCTCTAAAATCAAGCCTGACCATGACATCAATAACTTCGATTTGGCCCTGAAAACAAATCTTTTACCTGACACTGCATCTGTGCAAACAGGGTCATCACATGTCGCGCCATTCGTCCGCCCTCCCTTGCCCGGAAAGGTCCTCGATCGTTCTGGTATTGTCGGATTATCCTCATCACTCCAGTTGAGAACATGCTTTCGGGTTGGAGAACTTATGAACTACAATACCCGGTGCCGTCAAGACCACCAGCAGGCCATCTTTGAGTTCTTCGCAAGGGCCACCTGCTCCAACCGCTCATCGCAAACCCGAGAGCAGTACTTTCGATTCAAAGACCTCTTCACTGAGCACTACCCTCACCCTCGTGGAAAGCTCAAGGATTGGAAGCAGGGCAGTCTTCTGGACAAGCAGGCGATGGAGCTTGTGGGACAACAAGACAAACTCTGTCGTTGCATCTGCGTGTTGGACACTGATCACGCTCTAGATTTCGGCTGGCGGATCAAAATTATCAACATACGAAGCACTCACTGGGACGAAATACAGTGGGTGCGTCGAGTCATGGCTCGAGATGACACGGAATCTGCTGTGGAAAGATGAGGCCGGTAACATGGGATGACAAGCTAGATCAACTCGGTATGGCGAAGCCTACGATTTTCATGGATGGATGTAAGAGGCCTTGTTTATGTTATTCTCCCTTGCTGAGATAAACCTTGATTCCAACAATCTTTTCATCGTGATATCAATTTTCATACCGGTGCCTCTCGAATACTGACTTCTAACCTCTTAGCTCAGCGGGTTCAAAGGGAAAACCCCAGGGTTGGATCGACATAACGTATGTACCCATTTCAGGCTGCGTATCTGAGGAGTCCCTAGGACGGTCTTGCCGCACTCGGTCGACAACGGTGATCTCCTGTCGAGATGGTGGGTGTTGTGGTCAGCAAGCAGTGGCACTATCATCATTCGGAACACACCCACGCTGGGTGGAAACGATCACGGCAAGCCCTCCTCTTCTTGAGTGCAGGCCGCATGTGTATCAAGTGATCTTGTCTGGTTGACCGTCAATCTTTCTACGCATCGAGATCTTGAAATTGGGCTGGCACTGGTCATTGCACCCGAATCGTTGCTGAGACGGTCGATCATCAGCCAGTGAAGGAAGCTCTTGAAGTACACAGTGATCAGCAAGGTCAGATGCGCGCAACTTTCCACGAGCGGTCAATTTTCTCGAGGCTCTGAGTACTAATATGTCACCCGAAAGCATCATGATGACCCGGATCAACGAGCGGAAGTGATGCTCCTTTCCCACACCGATCTCACCGATCTCGATTCTCCTCTTGTTGGTGCCCGGAGGACTTGTCCCTGCGACAACCATGTCGTCACACATGAGCCTCACGACCTTCGTCATGAGCGCGCTGATACCACCCCCCCCCCCTACCTTGGGCCTATCAAGCCTCCCAGCCGAGATGCTACTCTACGACGATCGGGAGTACAGGTACCGCGCCTCGATCTTGAGTTACAACAGAAGCCCTGACCTTGAGGACGCGAGCATCAAGCAAGCAGCGTCCTCCCAGTTTCCCGATTCGGAAGTCACGAGGCCCATTGAACCTTGCGATCTACCAAAGAGGGACATGGTCAAGTGACGCCCCGTTGCGGCCCTCGCTTCCGGCCAAGGCAAGACACGTACCCCAGACGTACTGCCTCCACCTTTTCGATGACCTTTTCCCAAGCGCCAGGTACGGTCTCAGACCCCTAAAACGCTACGCGGAGGAAATGATATATTAACAATATGGGAGCAATAACACCTCGTGCAAGTCGTGTCCGCCACTGCCTCTGGGCCCCGGGAGGCCACGCGTTGAGCACTTCGCTACATCTCCGTCTCCCATTTGCAGCTCATTACGCCGCTGCGCTCCGGGGAGCGACCGAAAGTCTGCGCGAAATAAGACCCCGTACCAAGAGGCAGAAAAAGAACACGAGACGGAAAAATCCCCCCTCCATTTCAAGACGTGGCCTTTGTCGCCAACAGGCGGCGGCGCAAGGTGACCGGTGAGCTTCAGAAGCAGGGGCCTGTGCAGTCAGCAGACATCGAGGTGCCTGCGTCGTCGATCCTGCCCGCCCGGGGAAGGCCTCCCGCCCGCGGCACAGTCGTCGCAAAGGATCACGTAAAAGGATGGAGAGCCCGGACAGGGTGTTTTGACCGTGGTATGCGTGCTCGTGGTTGGGGGCAAGCGAGGGCTGCAGCACTCGCCCATCGCGAGTGCCGTTGGCGCATATTCGCTTGAGGCGGTACATCGAGGGAGGCGGTTCGCCCACCCAACACCATCGAGCTTGTGACTGGACCAGGGATCAGTTGGGGTGGTTTGGTTGGTTAGCAGGAGATGGAGGTGCGAGCGAATGGCCGTTCTTCGGCCGGGGAGGTCTCATTTCGGCGGACACTGACGAGTGGGAGAGATTGGCAAGGCGGCCGCCGCGCGTGGCATGGCTGATGGCTCCTCACGTGGGCGTCGCGACTTCGGCGTGGCACTGTTTCGGCGGCCGCGCATGGATTTCGAAATCGCGCAAAGTGGGAAGAACCTCCGCCCAGCTGCATTTCTGCTGCCTCCTCCAAACCCCAGCATCGCCCCCCTTGCGCAGGCTCCCAAGGGCTGATGGTTGATGGACCCTCTTTTCCCCGGATCGTCGGTCGACAGTTTTCTCTTTGTATTTGCTTCAGGGACTTTGTGGGGATTGCGGAGAGGGAGAGGGAGAGGGCGGGGAGTGGATGCAGAAGCCAGTTCTGGACTCTGATCTCCTTCCGACCCTTGTTTGCGTCTTGGCTTTCCGGTGGGCGCAGATGAGGGTGGCGATATGGCGATGAATAGCAGGGCAGGATGACGGCGTTGACCAAGTTTCTCCACCCCCTTCCCATTTGGCATCCCCAGTAGAACAAGCAGATGTGAGAAGTTTCTCCCTTGATGAGGAGGGGGAGGGTGTTCCGGGCATTCAGGGTTTCCAGGGCACGGCGGCCGAGCAATGACATGGCGTTCACCGCCTCCGGTAGGCGGACCGGCGACGTGGGATGAGGCGTTGGTGCGCGGTTTGTCCACGAACCCAGCAGACAACCATGGACTATGCGCCTCCTCGGTGAGGATGGGAGCGCGAGATGAGACATATCCACCTGTCATCTGTCTTGGGGTGCCGGTAGCTGGACCTACTCGCCTTTTACCCATCTGGAGATGAGCAAACAGGACAGTCTGCCCTCCTTCACGCATCCGCCTGGTCTGCCTGCTTATTGAATCTCCCCCACAAGGTAAGAAAGTCGGGCCAGGGGCGGGAAGACCATGAGCTAGAAATCGCCAAGTACTGAACAGGAAGAGTAGGGAGGGGGGAGACCCTGCTCACATGGCCCTTACCTCGTCTTCTTCGCGGCGGCAAGGCGGGACGCGGCCGATGCGCCACGGATCTCTCCAGACGGTTCGCGTCTTTACCCGGGCCTTTAGCCTGGGCCGCCAAAGCCGATCGAGGCGGCCTCGCTTACGATGAAGCGAATCTACAAGCTTTTCCGCCTCTGTCCTTCGTCTTTGTTGCAGCCCATCTGGCTCCAAGGCTGCCGGCGTCGGTCGCTGGCGAGTACCGGCCGCTTGGGGCTTGGCAGTGGTGAAGTCTGGGGTCTGGGGAAAGTGTCATGCGGGCTTGAAGTTGGTGTGACAGGTTGAGCTGCGGGACTTGTGATTATCTGGTGGTTTTGTTCAATTCGGGACAGGGGGGGGCAGTATATTAAAATATTCAGAAATATTTGGCCATTTTCCAACGGACGAATGAATATTCTATTTTATTCTGGTAGCATTTCATGAGACGCTCGGCTCAATGGGTTGCTTCATCTACGTCTTTCGTCCCAAGTCGTCCTGCCGGATCTGGGGTGCAGATGAAGATAGATGAATACATATTGCAGTTGCCGATCTATGACGGGTTCCTGGTTTCTGTCTATCGTTTGGGAGAACTGCCTTGGACCCCGTTTCGTCGTCCCGGACAATGGGCTGGCTTTGCGGTTCATGCTGGATCGGCCGTCAAGACAGCCAGATAAAACAAGCAGACGGTCAGAAGGAAAAGGCCTTCTCGTTCACCGTGGTCGTGAAAATAAGAACTGCCGCCGTATTCATTCCGTTCAGCAAACGACAGACCCACACGACGTAGACAGTCTGGCTTGTCAATCTCCTCATCTCCGCATGGCACCATCTTCCCTCTCTGAGGCAACCTCTACGACGGACCACCACCCTCCACCTCATCATCACCGATGAACGGCTCATCCAACTGGGGTACAGCTTTGCAAACCCCGGCCTGCCTCACTCGCTCACCAACAGGCCAGAAGTACACAATGGAGTTGTAGGAAACACCTTCACACACACACGCTGAGAGAGAGAGAGAGAGAGGGCAAGCAGCATGAAAGCTTCTTCAAGCCTCATCTGCATGCCATCACACCCGCCACAACGCCCAAGCCCGCCAGAGGTCCAGATCCTGTCGGACCTGCAACTCCTTCGCCCTCCCCCGCGACGGCGCGCCTGCTGCTGCTGCTGCTGGGCGGCGACATCGGATGGCCTGCCAACATCATTCTGAATGGCGCAGAGACAGACGCAGACGCAGAGGAAAAGCACAGTCTGTTCGTCTTCCTGGCTACCTAGACGGCGTGCGAGCCTGGCCTCGGCGGCCGCCTCCGTACTGCTGGACCGGGCGCGCTGGGACGGCCCGGACTTGGCCCTCACGATCCTGGGATGCCACCTCTGGTCGTCGATCTCTGCGGGGGACAGTCCTCGATTGTGGCTGCGCCCGCAGGGTGCGGCAGCGAGCCTTCAGGGCAGGAAAGTCTCTGTCTCTTACGCACCTCGCGCCATGCCTAAGGGCCACGGCGCGGCCGGAGTTGGCGGGCAGACAGCGGTCAAGCGCGTTCGCGATGGGACTTTTGAAAGGAGGGGAGCGGGATGGTGTCGAGGCGTTGGGTTTGAGGCACATACACACACACATACACTGCTCGACTGACTTTTGTGGCGGGGGATGGGATTCGCGTCGTTGCGAATCAGAGGGTATGCGTCCGCCCAGGGAGCGTCGCGACGGCGAGGCGGCGTGTTGGCGATGATGAGCAGGGGCGACGGGAGGACAGGAGGCTGTTCGATGCGGCCGTGGCCATCAAGCTGTAGCGCCTTTGCCCCCTTCCCGCTCGCATGATGTGATGTGACGGGATTGTGATGGATGTGAATGAGGATGTGACAGCCCCCTTGATGACCTGCTGCCGCCGATGGTCGGAGGGCAACTTTGTTGGGAGATATGCCTCTCTCTCTCTCCATCTAGGGAAAACTTCGAAACCACCACCCATGATGCTTTCTGTCTTCATCCGCAAGCAACTCCCAAAAAAGTCGACATGTTGCCGCACGCCACGCGAACGCCATATCGTGCTCGCTTCTGCCGTTTGGCGTGCTCGCTTGGCCATGCCATGAGCCACTATGCTCTCTTGGATGGCGGAAGCGCTTCTTCCACCCTCACGCGAGGCATGGCAGAACAAGGGGGGGGGATTTGGCCACTTGGCATCCAACACGGCCGCCATGCCTTCAGGTGACAGACGCACGTCGGAGAATATTTCAAGATTGCCAGCATCGGCCCTCCGCCATGGCAGGAGATGAGCACGTATCGCGCAATGCACACGTCCCTTGACCTTCCTGAGCTGGCCAGCCCTTCGGTGAAGGTCGAGATGCATATGCTCTGAATCCCGCCTCGATTTCCACCGTCCATTCTGCACCTTGGACCGGAGATTCACCACAACTGTCCTTCCACCCCGGACGCCGCCACCCCCCTGTCCACTGACTGTGCCTCCGCCAAGCGGGAGGACCCTCGTCGGGGGACTGTTGCCGGACGGTACGGGGAGGTCACCCGTACCAGGGCGCGCCGCGCCATTACCCGTGGTTCTCGCCATGTGGTCTGGAACATCCGTCAGCCCAAGAGGTCTCGACTTTTTCATGCTGCCTGTGCATCTAGGTCGCCCAAATCGCATACGAACCGACAACCGAGAGGAGAAGCATGTCACGGACCCTGGGCAACAAGCTTCCGTCGCAGCAGCACGACCCTGCTGCTCCCTCCAGATCTCAGCTTGACGCCACCCACAACGTCGTCAGCAAGTTGCATGACGCGCACGTCGTACCTACAGCACAGCACATGTGCATCCCTCGCACGCAGTACGCGCGACCCCAGCCTTACCTAAGAAATCCCGGACCGCGAAGAAGGGCGACCGCAAGAAGACTGACCGGTCTCCGCGCGGGTAGCCCCCCTGGACGCACCCAAGGCCAATGACGTCCTCTTGGTGCTGCTCAGATGATGATTCCAGACCCCACGAGAGTGAGCAAGGACGTACAAGGCGGCCGCTGTCCAAAGCCCGCACGTCGACAGTTGTGCCACCTTGGTCGATCGGATCTCCACCTCTCCAGCGGTCGCGCTCCCCGCGAATCCATTGTCGTGTTGCAGTGAGTGAGCAGACCGGGGGAGGAATGGACCAAAGTCTCGATACGCATGACCGGTCTGTTCGAAAAATAGGCGGATCCTGAGAACGGCGTCAGCAATCCCACTCTCATCCCATTGCCCCCCCCCCCCCACTCCCCAATGGCCGTGACATGACATGCCCTCGACTTCATTGATATCCCCGGGGGCAGTCGGCCGCAAATGAGCTCCTCCTCAGTGGCACTGGCCACGTACCCCGTGTCCTCGGTCGGCCGTGGCCAATATTCCCCTCCCCTTCCCGTGCTCCGTGCTGTCACACCGGCCCTTTCCCAGCCAGCCGCTTCTCCATGTCTCGCCTCGCGAATCGCAGAATGTCTCGTAAATAAAAAACATGCCAAGGACAGAAGAAGATCCAAGCTTCCACCCGCCCGCGCACCAGGCACGAAAAGACAATGGCTCACCTCCTCCCAGCCCTCTTCCGCCTCCCCTCCTGTCTCAGAGCCTTGAAACAGCGGCAGGTAGAACCGCGCCCGTGGTGCTGGCTGACCACCAGATGCCCGATATGTGCTAGACGTGGAGCCCATGTAGAGCGGGAGGTGGGAGATCTCGATGATTTCGGATATCGCAAGGAGGCCAAACAGCACGGGATAGAGGATCAAGGGACATGCCCGTGGATCTTTTCCCGACGATCGATGCCTGTGCTTTTTTCTACGGAAAGTGTCCCGTCTCAGCTGCGAACGACTATGCGTCGGTTTCCTCCCCCCTGAGTGTGCAGCTTCGTTGCCCCTTTCCTCGCGCTGGCATCGGCTGTGCACGTTGGCCCTGGGATTCCCTCTCTCTCGCGCGGATATGACATCGTCTGGGTCAAGAACAATAGTCATTGGCTGGCCGGGAGAGGGGGAAAGCGAGGCTCAGGATAGCCACAGCTGAGCAGGCGAGGCGCAGGGTCTCGTGAAGAGTTGTGATACGCGAGGATCTCTCGGCATCTCGTCTGCCGACCCCCAAAAATGGAGCGGGAGGCTGCATCAAGAGGGAGGGGTCTCTGTATTGGCACCTCTTTGGGCGGCTACCCATGGCGCGTCGTTTGACGTCGTATAGACCATTACAGCCTGTCGGGAAGACCGCCACGCTCTGCCCTCCTATCGAGGGCGGAATATCCCCTCTTTGATGGTGATGACACGTTCAGGCAAGTCCTGCAGAACATACAACGTTCCGTTTCCCGAGACGCCTGCGGTCTCAAGCCGCAGCGTGGCCTCGCCGCCGACGACATAGCTGATGAGCCCTGGGCGTACGAGCGTAGCGGCACGGTAGAGGAGGGAAGGCTACACGGCTGAGGCTATCGTCTTTGCGTCACCGGTCGTGGCACCAGCAACGACCAGATTGTTGGACTCGCAGTGGGTGAGCGTGGCGGTGGTGGGCACGCACAGGATGTTAGACCAGAGCTGAGCTGCCGGCGAGCTTGGAGGATCTGCGACGTATCAGCCCGGACCAATTCGTTGGTGAGGTCTCGTGATATTGAACCAAGGCAGGAAACTAAAATGGTAATTACGATGGTGTATTTTCGTGATTCCTTGCCCCGGCCGTAGATACTGGCCTTGTACAACACGATGACAGTCTAAACGTGTCCGCGTGGCAACATCGTCGGCCCGACTGTTTCCATACGGAGCTTCTTTCTCGTAATCGAACGCGATATCTCGAGACGCACTTATCCAGTAAATCGGTGGTCGCTGGCCTGCCTGACCCTGCCTTGCCTGCTTCATGTCACAAGCTTAGCAACATGCTGACTACGCTGAACGTTCTCTCCGAGCATGAGGTCATCCTCCAGTCGCATGGAAACGTTGCCTCGGGCTGGTAGTCGCAGGATCACACTGTGTTTGACTGAGGATGACCTCCGCCAGTATCACAAGCCTCTCATGTGAACTCGTTCGGTAACGACACACAACTCGCACGGCGCCATGCCCAACCCAGCAGGCCGACCCGACGCTCGCGTGAAAGCTGCATTGTAACCCTCGGCCAGCGCCCATCACGGATCTGTACCCCTGTCATCAGGCCATGCTTCACTCACCCTGACCACCAAGTTTCCAGACGTCCTAAAAGACGCTTCCTATCAATTTTATTGTATCGCGAAATGACAGATGTACCTTTCCGAAAGCAACAAGTATCTCCTCTCCCGATGGTCTGCCTCGGTGAACTACACCCCCTGCTCATACTCCCCATGCAAGCGACTCTACGCGTTCCCCCCCAGCCCGGGGAGATATCGCGTCAGGGGGGAGATTTCCCCCTCACCAGTCCGGGGAAACACCGCGCCACGGTCTTGTCACGCCGGGGAAATCTCGTAGCGCAAGCCATTGTCCAGAAAGCTGCCTCATGTGTTCGCAACGTAGCCCCAACTCAAGATGATGCCGCGATGCAGATGGTCAGGGGGGGAAAGGGCTCCTACCGTTCGATATGCCGTGCGATGCCCCTGGCCTGGCTGGGAGACTCTCGACCCATGACGTCTACCCCAACTCTTGCGCGTACGCCTACCTCGGCATTAACCACAGCCCTGTGTTCGGCACAGGCAAGAGACTTTCCCCTCCCAGACTGGATAGATTGGAACGAGCAACCAACACGGCACACGCGCGGTGTCATCTGGACAACAAGCGACATGATGCAAGGCGACCACGGGATGAACGCCAGGCTACAGCGTCGCATCCCTTCTCCCTCGACGGGAGACGCGGGGGGAAGGGCAACATTGCACATGTAGGCATTGGGCAGGACTGTGCTCAATGGCATTCGGGGGCGGCATGAAATCCAACAGTATCCAACGTCACACTCTGGCTTTCCTGGCCCTTTGCCCGCCAAGGCCAGGGCTGCACGACTCAGCCCTCTTCTCCGCAATCAGCAGACGCAGAAAACCAGCCATCCAACGGCGGCACAAGTAAATCGAGAGCCGGACGCGAGCATGTCAGACGCTGAAAGAAACCTTCCGCCTGGAGCGACCTGGCAGGGCTGAACGCCCCTCCCCCCATCTGGAGTGACATGACCTCTCGCCTGCAGCGGCAGACTGATGCACAACAACACGTCGGTGGGGAGCTATTCTTACACCGCTCGCTGCACGCGCCGTCTTCGGATCCTTTGTTACAGGTCAAGTCGGGATTGTTCGACAGACACGGAGTGACTTGAACGTGGACAAAAAAGGGTCCCACGAGCTCAAAGCTGACCAATACGTTCATTCAGCTATCGAATCACTTGACCACATAACACAATCTGAAAGTCTGGAAGCGCGGCCCTGGATATTGGTGCACTCTGGTACGGTGGACAGTATACCTATGACGTCCAATCAGGTGAAGACGAAACGCAAAGAAACAATCATCAGCTCTCCACCCGAAAACAAGAATTACGAATAAACAACTAAAATATTGTGAATATTAATTACTGTCAGTGAGCCATTTCTTGCCAAAGAAAAATTGTCACACCGACCCACGAGCATGATCTTGTTACCACATCGTCACCGCCATGGTGGCTGCAAGATGCGCAGTCGAGATGGTCCCTAGATCCCGGGGAAACCTCGTGCAAAGCGGACTAGCCGCTGGGATAGAGCGGGGATGGGAGTGGACAGTTCCCGGCGGGACGAAAGGAACAGGCGCGAAAAGCAGGGACGAGCACGCAATGGAAGCCTCGGCCACGGCTCGGCATGCGCACATCGCACTCGAGCACCAGGCAAAGAGGAGCCAGTGACAATCATCAGCCCGTGATGGGTAGCGTGACCCTCAAGAAGCAGGAAGAGGCCAAGCAGGGTCTTGTCGACATGTGAGCAGAAAAGCCGCAAGCAAGTCCACTGAGGATGGGAGGACCCTGAAATGATGAGCGACAGTGAAGATCTTGAGATCTTGCGGGGGATATGGCGGAAGGTTGAGGCGGCACGGGGGCGGGCTGCGGGGAGTGCTATGGGTGTTTTACACTGTGCATGATAATCCGTCAACTCGATTGACACTAAGGGAAGGTCGCTCTCGACAAGTCCCCTGCTGTCCGCAGCATCGAGTCGATCACTGCAGAATCGATTTCGCTGCATGCGAAAAAGCGTATGCGAAGAAGCGAATCCAAGCAAGGTGGAGCAGATCAGGGCCAGGGCACTGGAGTTCGCCCTCGTGCCACCAGGCGGTTCGGCGCAATCACGGCCGTGTCTCTTGCATCAAGTCGAAGCGGCAATGTCTATCGCGCGGAGAATCTGCCGGGAGCGATGACCTGCCTCTCTGATCGACTCGACGCTTCAGGACACAGCTCAATGCTTGCTGCCTCGTTCTGAAGGCTGGCACCCGCTTCTATGCGTGCCTTCGAGTCAGACGGGGCCGTCTTAGTGAGAGGCCTTTGTTGCAAGCTTGTGACCAATATTGCCAATGTCCCGACAACGGTTGATGAGAGATGAAAAGAACCTCGTCTTTCGCTGCCGCAGGGGTCCTCATTGCTGCCCGATGATCCAAAGATCCCGACAGTGGGACCTTGTCACCAATTTCCAGACAAAGTGGGATTCATGAGTCCTGGCTTTGAGTGAAATCGTCCCGTCAGTCGGGTCAACAGTGACCGGCGGTGGATTCAGTGTTGGGTGCATCCGACGCCGTATCTGACTGACGAACGGACCTGTCATCGCAACGGACAGGACCCTTCTTGCAGCGGCGGCCTGGCCTCACACCCCGTTAGCCGCAGTTCATCGGGCCAGGAACGGTATTGCTTGTCCCCAACTTTGCTAACCTTTCCGTACCCGTTGGGCTGATGCGACAAACTTGCGTGGCAGCGGGCGGATGGACGGTTGCTCACTTCAGATGGACCCCGCCTGTCCACTTTTGTTATTTAGCCAGGCCTGCCGAGTGGCGGAGAATTGGCCCATAGTCCCTTGTGATGAGCATCATTTGCCGCCTCTGTCCCCTCTTTGATCTACGTTTTGTCCTAGGTCAGATTGTGCGGAGTCGAGAGACACGTACCTCAACGTATCCAGGGGATGAATCCTCCGTCGCCAGTGGTCATGCGTTGCTGTCATTGATCCTTCGGGACAGGCATACCATCTGCGAGACCTTTCCTCGGCGGACGAGAAGAAGATGAGGCGGCTAGACACTACCGCCTTCCCCGCGCAAGTCATCAAGCCCTGTCTGACGATCTGACAAGAGGCGGATATGGCGCAGATCACATGCGGTCCAAAGTACCCCTTTTCGCTCCTGGATCGGAAGCGAAGACGGTTGGCGGGATGCGTTGTGCGGGTCTCCGAAACCATTGATGCGGCGAAACCTTGCGGCGGCGATTGTCGAGCCCGAATTGCCACGGTAAACAACATGCTAATGTCTGGCCATGCCATGGTCACAATAGACGGCAGAAGCTCATTAGTCAATGTTCCGTCGAGAACGGAAGGGACATGACAACCTCACTCGAGCACCCAGAGGTGCACACGTGGTCTGGCATACCGTCATGGCAGCAAATATCAAATTGACTCGCTCGTCAGACATCCCAAGACGTGGCTGTTGTCGTAGACAAGAGGGCCATCTGGCCTGGTGATTCGCTGCCATCGACACCTCAGAGATTCCATCCGCCACCTAATTGTCAGAGCAGTTGTTCAGGTCCGACCAGGCTTACAACGGCGCGGAACGCCTAGCACCTTGCCGTGCTACTGGGCCCATGAATGACGACGAAGCTCTTCAAATCAGCTGATTTATCCGCAAGAATCCTGGTCTGAATTGATTTTAAAAAGAAAGGAGAAGGCGGTTGGAGATAGCTCGAATGCCGTGGTTAGGGGACCTTGGGGTCCAGCGGCCCACCAGCAAGGCTTAAGCTCGTAGATCCTGCAGGATCTCAGTCAGCTGGGCACCTGGGCCAGCTGAGCCAAGCGAGCTGGGTCTTCAGGGTGCTGGTTTTTTTGTTCGTGTTTTGTTTTTATGACGAGTGACAGATATCTTGGAGGGTTTTTTTCTTCCGCGAGGTAAAGTGATAGGTGATACGATTGCGGCGCCGCCTGCCGGGAATGCGCCATCGCCGCCCAACGGCTGGTCTGACCGTGTCTCTGATCGTCGCCGGGTGCGGGGCTCCGGAGTCCGCGGTTGGAATGGCCAGGTGAGATGTCATGTCATGTGTGGGACCTGTTTCTGATCGAAGGGGTGAGGTTTAGGAATTGCTTTTTCCAGCTGGGTGGTTGAAGTGTGGTGGAGTTTTCTGATTCAGTGTATTTGCTAGAGCCTGAGTCGAAGGCAATGGGAAATGTGAGATGCACTAGAGACTAGAGAGAGAGAGGCTGCTGCTGCTGGCTGGCTGATGCCTGCTGCGATGGAGGCGGTCGTGGCTCAAGATCAGCTGCACCTTCCCTCGCTAA